AACCTTCTTTTCCTTCCCAAACCTCTTCGTGGCGCCAACTTATCACTCGAGATTCAAGTGTACCTTCCTCTGGAGCACGTTTCCGACCAGTCCCTTTATGTGTAACACCCATTTCCTGTCCTGCACTTGTCTTTTTACAGCACTTAAGAGTGATATTTCATGTTTCATTTTCAGACCTGACTCCCCCACTTTAAACTCTATGAGGGCTCACAGCCATGTCCCGTTTGTTTATTTCTTTACTTGCCTACTTACTTATTTTCGTTTTTGAAAGAGTGCAGTTTATTTTTTAATAGAATGAACTCTTAATTATCTCTTGCGTAATTAATTTGAATTATGGTATTCTTCCATTAGAACAAATACTTGTGAATTGATTACATGCACACCTGTATTCTCTGTAACAAACAAATCAGTACCTACTTAGTCTATTCTAAAATAATTTAACCCATTTCTTTTAGTTTTTTTAAATAAACGGGTTAAATTATTTTTTCAATAATATTGAATGCGAATTAAATTATAATTCGCATTCAATATTATTTTGTGTTAATTTCAGGTATACAGCATAGTGGTCCCTGTGACAAGTCCCGTAACTGTCTCACTGAGTGTCAGTTACAGGGATGGAATTTTAATTCGGGGATAGACCCCATATACAAAAGGTAAATAGCACTAGAAAGGCATATATAGTAAAGGCAAGATTAGTAATACAGGCAGTAAATAGCATAGGAGGTCGATGGGACTGCTGTTGGGGGAAGGGGTCAGAGGGAAATTTCTGGAAAGGGCAGATAAGGGTGTGGGGGGGTAAAGGAGGAGTGTGATACAGGCAGGGAATACATAGGTGAGAAGGCTATTTCAGACTGGAAAGTACGTAGGGCAGCAGGCGTGTGATAAAGATGAGTTAGCTGACCAGTTATTACATAATGGAAGATTTTTTTGTGATGGTGCTAGAAAAAGAAAGATAATGTTGGTAAAAATATATCTGGCCTGAATGGGCAATGATGTTAAAAGATTTTTAAAAAACTAGAGACAATTTAAATTGAAGATGGCAATGTTAGTATAGGCATTTGTGTATACATTACTGAAGTCTTAAGACTGGGTGGGAATACAGAAGATGTGGGAGTTATTTAGGGTTCAAATTGCTTATTGATTTTTATAAATATAGCATGGAACTTATATTTATGAATAACTCCCTAATATGCAGGGCCAATTACAGACAAAGCAAGGTTTAGAATCCCATTCTGAGGGCATGGATATTTTTGTGTTGTGCATGAAGATGGGATTAATATGTGAAATCAATGGAACGGATGATACCCAGGGCCTCATCACCATTATAAATGAATTACATCCAGAGCCAAATCATTTGGATGATTTAGATGATGGGGTTTAGGAAGTTTGAGCTAATGAGATTTAGATGAGACTTTTGCATTTTGAATTGATGACATAATGGGATGAGACCTTTGGGGGCCTTCAAGAGAGAATGTATTTTTCATGCGGGAAGAATGTGAATCACGGGGGCAGGGGGCAGATGAGGGTAGGTAGAATTTTGACCTCCATGACTGTTACCATTTGGGTCATGGTCATTGGTTGTGTTATTTCACATGGCAAAAAAGACTTTGTTAATGTTATTAAGGTTAATAACTAGCTGACCTTCAGATAGAAAGATACTTCTGGGTTATCTGAGTGGGCCCAGTATAATAACATGAGCCCTTAAAAGCAAAGGTGGAAGGTGAAACAGGAAGTCTGAGCTCTCTGGCAGAAGGGGAAGGTGGATAGATTCAGAGTGTGAGGGGGACTTGGTGTGCCGTTTGTTGTTGGCTTTGGCAATGGAGGGGTCATTCATAAGCCAGCAAATGCAAGAGGCCTCTGGAAGTTGAGAGTAGACTCTAGCCAGCAGCCAGCAAGGAGCAAGAACTTCACTCCTACAACAGCAAGGACATAGATTTTGTCAATAGCCTGAATGAGCTTCAAAGTGAATCTGCCCTGGAGCCACTCAGTAAAAGCTCCATAGGCTGACACCTTGATTTTGGCCTGGTAGGACCCTAAGCAGAGGACCCAGAAGGGAGCAGCCCAGACTTTGGGCTTAGAGAAGTGTAAGAAAATCAATCAATATCTGAAGCTACCAAGTTTGCAGGAACAGAAAACAAACAGTTAACGTTGCTATCCAGCCAGATGGTATCTAGGTTAATGGCACAGACGTAGATTGTGTGCTTGGGTCTTGCTATCTCGCACCCTCTTGTGGAAGAGGAGGCTGAGAAATCTAGAAACTGTAGCCACCAGCCATGGACACCTCCACTATTGGGGTCTTGGGGTACTTTGAGGATTATTGGCCTTTTCTGAGAATGGTCTTTTATGGCTTACTTCATGCCAATTAACAGACAGCTTCCTTAAGGAGCTCTTACAGTTTCTTACTGGCCCTTTCCCCTCTCTGTATGGTCCTTTTCCTGATATAGTTGGGAGTCCTGATTCCTTGGTTCTCCTCAAAATCACATCTGTACTTATACATACACACAGACATATTCAGCCATTCAACCCCTTCCTTTTAATACCAGACAGTAGAGTACTGTTGGGTATTAACTGCACGGTTAGTGGGCTTTTCCTTGCTTTCTGACGGCCTGGCTTCTGCAGGGAGTGGCCCAGCTCTCACAATAGCAAACACCTCCCTCAGCTGCAGCCAGCCTTGTTCTAAGTTTAATATGTGCTCGGAATGAGGTAGATATGAAAATGGGAAGAGTCGAATAGCCGGGGCGGGCTCACTCTGGGAATCAATAGAATAACATGTAGGGTGGAGCAGAGAGAATAATAGAATTTACCTCACACCTTTTCCTAACCTCAAGGCCAACTCCCCTATCTCTTTATTTTACATCTTTCTGATACTAGCGTCTTGATATATGTCTACTTTTTAGAATTACTTATTTAAACAACTTTTATCCAGTTAAATTACATCTGAGATGACTGTTTTCATCAACTGTGTAAGTAAAAAGCACCATAAACTCAATTTATTTATTAATTCAGGTCTTTTTGGGTCTTACCAAACATTTTCCACTTCTTGAGAGAGAGAGAAAAAACCTATTTTTTAAAGAAAAAATGCTTTTAAGTTCTTCAAGGCTCACAGGAAAACCTCATGAAAATGTGGGTATTTTCCAAACCATACATTATAAAAAAAAGTAAATGTTAATAGCTGGTATATGATTCATTTAATAGTGTTGGACATCAGTGCCCTAAAAAAGTTCTGGGCCAGAACTGTGGGTATCATTTTCCATTTCTCATTAAAACTTGCTCAATAGCTGGATTCGATTGTGTTGAAAATTAGGGCCTAGGTACCAATGATAAATGAATTGCACAGCAACAGAAATTCTCATTTTACCTCTGATTCCATAAAGTGAGAGTTAATACAACTGAAAATGGTACCCAAACAAATCTGGGTCAAAGAAAGGTCCAGGCCACATGAATGGTCAACTCTAAGACCAACAATGGGGTCAAGGAGATAGAGTACTTAGTATCACTTCTGTCCTCTTTTTGTTTACTATATCACATGAATTAACCTTTTGCCTTTGTATTATTTGTTTTCCAGGGTTATAGGACTTAGTTTGGTAGAAGAGAGTGAATGATTAAGGACAGGTTTGAAGTACAGGAACTTTGACTAGATGGAAGTAACTGTCAAAAACCAATCTATAAAAACACTATCTTTTTTTTGTTTGCAAACGTCAACCCAGTTTCTGTGTCTTTTGCTAATATTATATTGTCATAATCATGAAAATCATCTCATAATAATTGTCCAGAATTATTTCCTGAGATTTTGTAGCTTTTATTCAACCCAGTCTTAGGGAGTGAACCCTTTGCTACATTTCTTCAGCTAGACAGCAGCTTTTGGGATTTGCCATTCAGAAATAGGGCTGGGACTCGGAGTTTCAGCTAGTCAGCCAATTTAACAAGAAGGAACTTTGAGAAATACTTAGCTCTTTTTAAAAAATATTTTATTTATTTATTTTTAGAGAGAAGGGAAGGGAAGGAGAAAGAGTGGAAGAGAAACATCAGTGTGTGGTTGCCTCTCATGTGTCCCTTACTAGGGACCTGGCCTGCAACCCAGGCATGTGCCCTGACTAGGAATCAAACCGGTGACCCCCTGCTTCACGGGCCCGTGCTCAATCCACTGAGCTACGCCAGCCAGGGCAAGACTTAACTCTTAAGAAAGGGATTAATAAGCACACTGAATAAAATAGCAGAAGGCAAAAACATGGGCAGTAGGTGCCTTTGGAATGTCTTGGAACTTTATTAGAAAGAATGTAAGGAAATAATATTTCATCTAAATATTTTATAAATCCCTTGAATTCATATGAAAATTCCCTGATGCAGATTCTTGTTTACTCTTTTTGTGGCCCTCAACATATATAACATTTAGGAGCAAGCTCAAAATTAAACCATTTTTCAGCCAGAGCTCTTGATATCAAATATGAAAGCAAATTTTCCATTGAATTTTACCTGAGTTTCCCATATTTAATTACATTTGGAAGCTGCAGACATGGTTTAGGGAAGCCATGACCTGCAGAGGTCAAAGTAGACAAGCACTGCTCCACCTTCTCCCCCTTCCCCTGTTTCTCCCCCCTTCCCCCTACCACCCCCACCCTGCATCCCTGCTGACCCTCTATTCTGAATAGAGTCCAGGGTGTTTCACCCTTGACTATGCATGGGAATCACATGGAGAGCTTGCTAAACCACAGATTCCTAGACCCCTCTCCCCAAACATTCTGATTCCATGCATCTGGGGTCGATCCTGATTGGTTGCATTTTTAACATTCTCCCAGTTGCGGCTGATGCTGCCATTTGTGGCTACATGTTGTAGCCCTGGACCCTGATGACCAGTGCCTGTAGCTAAGGGGCAGTTGAAAATGAAGCTGCTGGGTTTGTTGGATCTGCATGGGGCAGGGAGGGGAGGAAGGAGTGATGCTGGTCCAAGTTGCTATCTTTACTGAGGTCTCCATAACAGAACTACCCTTTCCTTTCCACAGAAGCAAATCCAGAGAAATTCAACAGTCGTTTTCGAAATAAAATGTTCTATGCAGGGGTAAGTATATATTTTACTTTATAATTATTACTTATATTTAATGCTAATTCACGTTTGGCACTATAGAAGCTAATTATACTAAAAATAATTTCATGTGCATCTCAGATGTTTACATGTACATTTATGTATGATTAGTGTGTAATGTCTTGGTTTGAGAAGAAAAGTAAGGATGTATGTCTTGAGTTAGTTGGCAGAGAGAGCTGGTGTCCCTCATCTTTGAACTTCAGAACCCTGAGGCTCCCTATTGTACCAAGGGGCAATATCCAACAAGTGATGGGGAAAACAAATATCAAAGCCAGCCTGGGGAACAAGGAAATTGGAAAGACTGAAAAGTGCGTGGGAAGTCTTGGGTAAGGATGCAGTTTTCAAAGGGGTGTACATGCACCAATGCTTGGATGAGAAACTGGCCAAGCGTGGGAAGTCTTTCCTGGAAGCGTATATGAGACTAAAGGAGGCCACGTCTTTTTTTCTCCTGCTGAAGCACATCCCAGAGGGCAAATGGCCAGAAAGAAAAACGCCTCCAAAATATTGATATAAAAATAAGTGTGGTTTAAATTTATACCACTGGATGGAGGGAATGGAAATAAAGCAGGGGGGAGCAAGACATTCTCAGCACCTAACATAGCAGTAGGGAGGTCAGGAAAGGTAGTCAAAATGTATTTTCAAGCCAACCCTTGGAATTATCCACTTTTTTACTCTCCTACTGTGATCTTACATTTTCTTATTATAGGTTATAGTTTGAAAACAAAAAGATTTCAACTTGACAGCCACTGTACTACTTTAGTTTGGATTCAGCACATTATGTTTTTGTATAATTTAGCATCATTAGAAACTACATAATACAAAGCAAGGATTTGGCATGACCATGTAATCAAGATTTTCTTTCTTTATTTCCTTGTGGTTTAGGCAGCTTTTTCTGATTTCCTACAGAGAAGCTCTAGAGACCTATCCAAACATGTTAAAGTTGTTGTAAGTATTGAATGTGTTGGCTCATTTCATTTGATAATCAATATGTGTGCCCCCAAATTGAACCCCAAATACCAGTTTGCAGACTTAGATTAATCAGTGGACTGTGTAGAACTTCAGAGCCCACTCAGTGTCATGCATTCAACCAGCATTTGTTCGTGAGCATTTAACTCTGTGACAGACACTGCCTTAATTGCTGGGGAAGAAGGTAAACCAGATGACCCATCTCACTCCTGAACAACCTTGCAGCTCAGCCTAGAGAACAATATAAAAAATGCTGTAATGTTACTATGTATATAATATGGTAATGGCACAAAGGGAAAGTGAGATCGACCACTGTGGGGTCAAAAGAAACCTTCAATGAAAAAATCATGCTGAGCTGGGTCTTGAAGCAGAAAGAGTTGCTTACCAAATAAATGTCTTTATTCCATGATTGTCGGGGGCATTTCCTTTTTAGAGAAGTGCTTTGATTTTATTATTTTTGGATGACTCACTGTCTAAGCTTGTCATGGGTCTTCATTACTGAATGGATTTTAAATTAATTAATTAATTTTTTTGGCGTTGTTTCTTCCTGGGTTGCTATCTCAGGTTTTGGACACACACTGCTTGGAGGCAAGGGGGAGGGGAAGTTATCTTCTCTCTAGGAGATATATTTTAAAATAGCATAGTTGTTAAGAAAGAGAAAATGTTTCCCTATAGTGACCAAGTTAAAAGAAGGCATGAACATGACTTTTTTACATCACTTGTATAAGTGAAGGAAAAGAAGAAAAATAATAGATGGGGAGGAAGGTATGGAAATGTAACAATGTATCCGAGCAATGTATTCTTCAATGAAGAATAGAACATGCCCTGGCTGGTGTGGCCCAATTGGTTGAAGCATCTCCCATACACCAAAAGGTTGTGGGTTCAATTCCTGGTCAGGGCACATATGGAAGGCAACAAATCCATGTTTCTCTCTCCCCCTTCTTCCACCCATAAAAAACAGTGAAAAAAAATGTCCTCAGGTGTGGATAACAAAAAGAGAATATGTGACGAGAGAAGACAGAATAAAAGATATCCATGAGAATACAGAAAAATAGATGAGCTAAGCTAATGGCTATTCAGAGAAATGCACAGGAGCATGAGAGGGTGCAGATTGGTAAATTTTGTAATCACCAATAAAACATACACGAGACACAAATCTCTGAAATCAGTGGAGGCCAGAGGCAGAGGCCATTAGCATTAGTGCTACCGCCCTCTGCACTGCTATAGATGCATCACTTCTCATCTCAATGGCAATGAAAACCAAGTGTCTCCAAGTAGTAGTAACTCTTGAAAATGAAAATATTGCCTTCTTAAAGCTAGGTACAAAAAAGACACATGGCCCATTGACCTCTGGGCATCTTTATTTTGATCAAATTATGGCTATTAAATTTAAATAGCAGCAACTTGACCCAAGTTTCCCTTGTTTCTTCAGCTGCTTACAAGCCAGCCAAAAATGAACTTTTCTGTTCTTTCCATGATTTCTCGCATGTAGAGGAAAAGCAGCAGCACCTGCCCAGAGAGCCACCAGGTGGTGGGCAGTGGCCCTATTGAATGACGGCCCCTGTTCAAGTCAGTGGCATTGAAATTAAACTCTGTACTTCTCAACCTACAGAGTCCTTCTCCACCTCTGGCAGTCCTCTTGATGATAAATATTTCATACATGAATGGCTGTGTAGCTTGGATTAAAAGACGCAGAGAAGCCAACATGGCAGCCAAATAACTAAAAAAGATTTAATATCAGTGAGCACATGTAATATTTCAGGTGGATTGTTTTATGTAATCATATCCTTTTTTTACAAGGAGAAAAGCCATCAGAAAGTAAGTCTGGACATCTGGAATTTAGTGGTAGGTCCACCTACATGAGGTAGATAACTTTGGGGGAATCACTGAACCTTCCAGAAAAGGTTACTGTCTTCATTTAAAACAGGCATAGTAAGGCACAGTTTTAAAGCAACAATTACTGACCATGATGCTGTGGCACGGCAGGACACAAGGGTATTTCTCCAATGACATCATTGTATGTTTTCTTGAGTATCAGATAGGAAGGCTGGAAAGTTAGCTAGAGCAATGAGACGTACATATCACAACAGAGCACATTCCTTTGCCAAGGCTGACCTCATTGTTTCTGAGGTCATAGACAATAATCTCTCACGGAGATGTAAAATGTGGGTATGGATAGTGCACCTGAAGAAAAGAAGACAATAACACAAACCTATGGACAGCGTTATTCACCCTACTTCTGTGTTTTCTTCTTATTGTATTGGCATCAGTCTGTGAACTTCTGCACCGCAACGTATTTTTCATGTAGGTCTTTTCCTTTTATGTGAAGTAAGGAAAAAGTTAAAAACTGCAACTCTAAAGAGCTGGAAAGTTTAGATGCAATAAAATGGAACAAAACTGTGTAAAACACAGTACATTGTAAAGCGTCCAATCCTCAATGAGGTTGATGACTTCCCAGAATCACTGATATGTTTTCCAGAAGAAAAAGTTGAAAATTTAACAAATTATTTCTTTTAAATACAATAATGTTAATTACAGGGTTTTTGTTTCTGGAAGGCAGAAATACTACTTTGCATGCTATTGATATATCACATTCTATCTTTTTTTAGTTTTAGCTGCTCACAACATGCAGTGTAGATGGTTAAGATGCCTCCATTTCTTCTTCACTGGCATAATCATCCATCAACTCATTTCCAGTCCTCAAATAAATTGGAGACTTCACGTTTGCTTAGAATCCAAGAATATTGTAAAAATATCCCAGTCATGTCTGCAGTATGATTCCTGTCTAAATAACATTTTAAAATACTTTATGTAGGGCTTTAAGATTCCCTGGAAACATGTTTTGTGAGTGCTCATGAACAGTCAGCTGTAGTAAGATCGGCAGGGAAAAGGAGATCCCCTTGAATGCCGGGAGAATCATTGTTCTTCAACTGAAACTCCTCCTAGAGAGATGTTTAAAAATTTGCACAGAGGTTGACATGTTTCACTGCTGTCTCTGCAGGAGAAGATAATGGGGGAAATTTTGTGATGAGGGTGTGAAAAGAACGAGTATAAAAGCAGGCTTTATGCCTTTGACACTGAGACGTCTATAGTCTTGACTATAGATTTTTTCTTTTGATTTTTGTTACTGTTGGTAAATGAGAAGGGGAAAGGAAAGCTTTTTCTTTGATTAGTCAGAGGATAATCTTGAGGAAAGCACTTGAGATGAGGGAAGCCACACAGAAAGGTTTGAGGCTGACCCGGGGTCAAGTTCAGAGTCCAGGAACGTAGGTGATCTCAGAAGACCAGTCAAAGTCTGTAAGAGGTTAACTTTATAAGAGTGAATTACCAATACAGATAATGCTAATTTATAATATATTTTGAAAAGCTTGCAGTATATATTCCTTCTAAACAGTTTTCAACATGTTTAACATTTGGAAAATAAGAAATTAATCTCAAAAACCAAACAAAGTAAATCATTATCTTCATGACTGTTGTTTGAATCAGAGAGCTGTGCTAGGGGTCACTATCCTAACTTGAGGCATTGTTCTTTTTAGTATTTTAAGCATTTCTAGATCTTTTGATGTTGGTCCTGCAAGCCTAAATATCTAGTAAGAAACTAAGGTGAAGAATGATGGTACTTCCTGGGTCTGGTAGAGCTATAACCAGAATAAATTTTCAATTGTGATAGTAATGGGCATTCACTTAAGGAGAGATGGAGCAAGGGGAAGAACTTGGTACATACTATTGTCAACCCATTATCTCCGGTCATTTTTTTAGGCTTTTGCTTACTTCAAAACCTTTGTTTTTTCCTGCTTTGATTGTTTCAGTGTGATGGAACGGATCTCACCCCAAAGATTCAGGAATTGAAGTTCCAGTGTATAGTATTTTTAAATATACCCAGGTAAGCTTTATTTGTCTTGTTTCTTTGGCTTGATGTAAGCTCTGTTTGACTTGAGGTTATCTGTTTTCATTATAGAAAATTTTCAGGTACAAACAAGGCACATCCTTTATATCAATGGCTTAGTAGAGATTTTCCAGGTCTGAGAATTGTGTTCTCCTGCTTGGTTTGTTTAATATTCTCTGTGGTAGGTGTTTTTTATTATTTGGATTTTTAAAAATATGATGTAGCATGCATGGTCTACACTTATCTGTCCTTAAGTACCCCATGCACCCCTCTGGACTAGAACATTTTAATTTAATTCTCAAATTACTGATCTCCCCCAACCCCCCCAAATGATAGACTTGAATAAAGTCCTGTCTGTTCTCAGTCTCCTGAAAGCTGTTAGGAAACCATGCAGCCTGCTTTTGGTATGAAATGCACTCAAAATCACTGCCAGATGATTACTTTGAAAAAAAAATAGGATCAAGTAGGGTAGGGTTTCCCAGCTAGGATGTCTGCTCCCTTGGTGTTATCATATACCTCAGGAGAAAGGGGTGTATTTAAGATTAACTCAGTCTCAGAGTAAGCACATTCTCTCAGGGGCATGAGATCAGAGTCCAGGCTCCCAAGCCAAGACTCTGGAAGGGATGGATCTGTGAGCCTCTGTTCTTTGCAAACCAGATCACTCAGACACAGACTCTGCAAATAAGTTCTGTTTAGACTGAATTTAATGAAAAATGAGAATTGCATGTAAATCTATGGCTAGAGAGACCCTATTAGAGCTTCATGATTACTTTCAGTGGTGCTCAGTGTAGTTACTTCCAGTTCTGCTTCCAGAAGTATTTTACTCTTAGTTGTTTAAGCAGAAGATCTCATGTCTCGGGAAACATGAACTTTCTTTAATTTTCTTCCTCCTTTCTTTATATATCTCTTCTTCGTCTTGCTCCTGTCTCTAACCCCCCTCTGGATTCCTTTTCCTTTACTTTTCCAATTTTCTTTAATTCTCTTCCCTTTCTAACATCGTCTCTTTTTAAATCCCTTCTTCACCCTTTCTTTCTTTTTCAGTTACCTTTTCCTTGTGCTGTGGGTGCTTCTTCTCTTAGTTACATAATATTCACTGCTTGCCTGCCCCAGTGCCCTCTCCTTTGAATACTGGCTGGCACGTCTCTCTCCTTCTCCAAGACTAAATCCTGAAGCTGACCATCGATAACATGTGACACATCACAGAAAGCAGTCGTGCATGAACCAGAGGGGGATGAGTTGATAAATAATGAATTAAGAGAAAGCTGGGCATCAGTGAATGCTTCTGCTGTGACATCATGGCTTGTTTTCACAGATTGACGTTTGGAGATGATGACGAGTCCATTTCCTTTTTCTTTGAAAGGTGTGCACCAGAAACAGAAAACTGTTCTCATGTGAAATAAACCTTTGAACAAACTATAAGCTTAATGTCTAGTGATAATCATGAGAGGAGTTGAATAAATTTAATTCTACTCTTGATCTTACACTGCAGATATTGCGCTGGCACGATGCCCTGGGGGAATCCTGGGGATCACCATGATTTCGAACCTCAGCGGCACGACGATGGTTATATTGAAGTCATTGGATTCACCATGGCCTCTTTGGTGAGCGACGCAGCTCTTTTAGTAAAATAACATGTATTTTAGCCACAGCTAAGAGTTTTTCCACTTCACACAACTTTGGTATAATTTCTCTCCTGCCTTATCAATTTATAAACTTAATGCAATGTAGAGTTGCTTGCGGAAAACAAGAACAAAAATTAATGCTTTATGTCACCAAGAAAATTGATGCGTATTTATTTGAACTTCAAAAAGAAATATTCTTTGTTAATTTTCCTGATGAATTTTCTACCAGAATTAACATGCAAGGTGTTCATGTTAATTCAAAAGCATATGCCACAGACATATCCTGGCGTGGTGCCCAGTATGATATTTTCAGGTGAATAGGAAAGTGGTCATTTGCATTTATCTTCAGACTTGTCTATTTAATCATTGAATGGCTGCCTCCATCATCACACAGTTCGTGAATAGAGAGCGACATCATTTTTATAACATTAATGAATATTCACTTTTCACGGTATTGAGATCACCTCATATATTCATTTTGTTTGCTTGCATAAAAAGTAAATGTATGTAGTGTAAGTGTAATTTCAAGCAGGTTTTAGCAGGTAGTTCAACTTATTGAATGATGAGGGAAACAATTATCATTATGCTTATTATAGCAAAAAACTAAAGAAAAAATTCTGCTTCATTATATGTTGTATAAGTCAGGCCACACCATGCTGGGCCCTCTGAGGCTGTGTCAGTTTATAAAGCAAATTAAAATAAAACTTCTGCTGACAACTGTTGGTTAGCACTTGGTTTGTGCTCCACCTCATGCCTGAAAGCAAAAAAGGTTGTATTTCTTGTTCTAAACAACTGAGAACAGCCCTCCTTTTCACTCATCTCATGGATTCCAATCACCTCAAAATGCCGCCATTGAAGAGAATTATCTCTTGTGACTATGGCAACAGTGTCCTTCACTGGAGACAGTGATGTCGCTTGTTAGATCTGCCATCATTAGAATGAAACGGTCGTTAAGTGTGAGTGATCAGCCTGGGATTGATCTAATTTTAAGGATTGTAGCTCATGCACCACTCTTTCTTTCCAAAGATCTTTATATTAATTCTAGGAGAAGATTCAGCCAAGAGCAAATAGGAATAAGTTCAAGAAGTTCATGTGCAAGGACACATCCTTGGAGGTCACCAAAAATGGCCCAAACCTGGCCATGTGTGTTTTACTTGGCTGCAGTGAACATGGACTAAGTGTATACCATGTCCAAAGCTTCCTAGCCCCGACTGTGTGGTAGAAATCTGCCAGGGAATAAATAACTAAGAGAAGGTGATTGCTTACCCAGGTCTGGGAGGGCAGGGAGAATCCTGGACGATTCCCCAGTGCTCTCAGGGTCAGAGCCTAAATCTTTACTTGGCCATGCAAGACTGAGTTTCTCTGACTCTCTGGCCTTTCCTGTTGCCCTCTTTGCTTTCTTCCTCAGATAGCCTGTGAAGTCAAATATAGCTTTGAACATCCCCTGCTGCTTTTGCACCACAGGGCCATTGCACATGCTCACTCTCTCTCTCTTAAATGTCTTTTATTCTCCATCTTCTGTAACTTTTCAGTCCATATTTGTGTCTAGCTGTTTTTATAGTCATTTTGGGTTTGGCTTGTTTTTTTGCTGGCAATTGTTTAATCAGCATTTGCATGGGAAATAGAAGGCAGACTAAAACAGGGTAATGAGAGGAGAGATTAATCGAGGGACTCAACAAATTGTGTACCAGGTGTATGAGAAGCAATGATGGATGGCATAGTATTTCTGAGCCAAAGGTGCAAAGGCAAATTAGCAGTCACCTGTACCAGAAAGAGAACTATTTGGCAAGGACCCCCTGGTTGGAGTAGCGGTTACTAAGTGGAAGCAGCCAGCAATGCCACCTTGGCAGGGAGGGAGCTGGGGACAGAAATACAGTGACCTTACTCTCCTTGTCTTCTGGCCCTTCTGCTTGGAGTTCCCTCTGGGTAAGTCTAAGCAGGAGCTAGGGGACAAGGGAACCACTGATAGAGTGTAAATGGGTCCACCTCACAGGGACAGAAACAGGGCCCAGAATGGTAGAGTGCCGACTTGGAGAGGCACATGGTAGCCATCCATCACTCCAAGGTCTCCTTCTCCAGTACACAGCAGAGAGCCCAATTCCTGAGGTTGGCAATGAGTAACATGACAGAATGAATGAATGTTGCCAAGAGAAGAAGCATGGGACTTGGCATTCCAGAAAAATGGAAATTTACATACATTTGGAAGTATGAGAGATCATGGTCCTCTGTGGGCGCTAACTGTAATCAGTTTCATACAGTGTAAGTGTATGGACAGGGAGAGACGATGGTGAAGAGGCCATCCAGGGCCAGGTCATGCAGTGCTTGGAGAGTTTATCTAGGGGTTCTGACTTTATTTCAGTGTCACTGGGGATTGAGTAAAGTGTAATTTTTAAATATTTGTTATGGGAGAAGTTTAATGTGAACAAAGATGAAATAATACATTGAACCCTTGTGTGTCATCACTTAGCATCTGTAGTTACCAACTCATGACAGTCTTATATCTGTCCCCGTCTATTATACTATATCTGTCCTCCTCCCTTATATTATTCTGAAGAAAATGTCAGACATTATATCATTTTATCTGTAAAGATTTTAAGTGTGTTTTAAAAACATATGGCTTGCTTTTATGAACATAATCACATCAGCTTCTCTAAAAAATTAAAACAGTAGCATCTAAATACCACTAAATAGCCACTTAGTACTCAAATTTCCAGTTGTCTTGCAAATGCTTCATGCTTTCTTAGGCTCTGTTTGAATCAGTATCCAAATAGAATTCATTGGTTGTGATTGGTTGATATGACTCTTAAGTCCCCACCTGTCTTTTTTCTCCCCATTTATTTGGGAAAGAAACCAGACTATCTTGTAAAGTTTCCCAGAGTCTGAATTGTGCAGATAACATCCTCAAGGTATCAATTAACATGTTCTCTCTTCCTGCTTCCGAGTTAATAGTTGGATCTAGATGAATCAGACATTTTTCTCCTCCAAATCTAGCTTATAGGTAGTGTTTTCTTCTTCCAAAATAAGATAGGTAATGTCGGGTTGTCTCTCTTTTTTAAAAAATAGTTTTTGATGATCAGTGTCTGGATTCAGGATTCATTGGGGGTTGAAACACAGTGATATTTTAATTTTATCCTTTCCCACATATTGACTGGGATATTTCTACAAAGGGCATATTTTCTTCACTTATTCTTTTCTTACTTTTTTGTACAGTTTGTGTCAGAGAAGCAAAATTAGTGATCTTTTTCCTTATTGATGCACTTTCAATATAGTAAATTAGTTCACTAGCATCCTCTGATAGTTACCATGGTTTTGGAATGGCCTTGAATTTGGGGCACTCTCCCATCAAGAGTTTAGGTCTATGTACCCTCCTCATGAATTTGGTGGAAGTGATCCTATATAACTTGATATAACTCATTAAAGGTCATGCAGCAAATGCAAAATATGAGCAGCATTGATGGTGTCTAATTAATCAGAATTTTGGAAATTCAAGGTAATACTAGTTATTTAAAATGTCCCATTGCTTTATTCATTTAATATCAGTCATTAAGTATTTATTAAACATTTGTTGAACCCACAAATGCTTTATTGAATCTATAAATGACACTCTTTTAGGTAAAACAGTTATGAAATGAACCAAAATGAAAGTCCACAGTTCTTAGGGTGCCCGTGGTTTGGTGTTGAGGGGATAGACAAAGAAGTAAACAAGCAACCACAGTCTGATGTAATAAATTTCAAGAAAAAGGCATGTGTGAGGGTGTGTTTCTAAAATGGGGGCATCAGCAGAGATTTCACAGAGGAGGCAGGGGTCTCCGGGTGAGAGTGCCTCCTCTTCCTAGGAGGCCTCATGGGCTAGAATGGCCCATAGTGGTTCAGAGTGACTGTCACATGGTGAATGAAGGCATGGAAATGGTGACAGGGTAGAAATAGTAGTTTTTTATTAAATTTATGGGGATGACTTTAGTTAATAAAATTATGTTTCAAGTATATAATTCTATGATACATCATCTGTATATTGAATTGTGTGTTCATCACCCAAAGTCAAGTCTCCTTCCACCACCATACACTTGACCCCTTCTACACTTTAATACCCCCAACCCTCTTCCCCTCTGATGTCTTGTGTCTATGAGTTTTGGTTTGTCCTGTTTGTTCATTTGTTGCTTTCAGTTTTATATCCCACAAGTGAGTGAACTTATCTGGTTCTTGACTTTTTTTGTCTGACTTACTTCCCCTAGGCTGATACTCTCAGAATCCAACCATATTGTCACAAAAGGCAGTGTTTCATCTTTTCTATGGCTGGGTAATATTCCATTGTATATATTGTATCACATCTTCTTTACCTACTCACCTATCAAAGGTCACTTTGGGGCCACCATGAATAATGCTCTGGTGATCATGGGGACGCATATGTCTTTGCAAATAAATGTCTTCCAATTTTGGGGGTAGATACCCAGAAGAGGGTTTGCTGGGTATGGAAATAGTATTCTTCATCTTTGAGGAACTTCCATACTGTTTTACATGGTGACTGTACCAGTCTACATTCCCACCAGCAGTGAATGAGGGTTCTTTTTTCTCCACAACCTCCCCAACATGCGTTATTACCTGTCTTGCTGATAATAAGTGTGAGGTCTCTCATTGCAGTTTTGATTTGCATTCCCTAATAGCTAGTAAAGCTGAGTATCTTTTTCTGTATCTGTCAATCATTTGTATGTCTTCTCGGGAGAAGTATCTGTTCAGGTCCTCTGCCCATGTTGTTTTGCTTTATAAACCTTAAATAGGTGGGTCGAAGGAGCTGGCGTGAGACAGGATCCGCTTGGTGGCTTAGAAGGGTAGTTACCTACAAGTCAGCATTTTATTGTGAAGGATGGGAAAGGAATATAAATAAATCAAGGTGCCTAGCATAGACCATTAGGTAAACAGTGAATATATTAAATAAAGTAGAAAATATAAAAGAAAGATAATTTCGCTGAAAAATGAACTCT